CCAGCTTTCCCTCAGCGGAGGCAAAGTTTATTATCAATGTCAAGTCATTTGCAAACAGACATTACATCCACTTTCCACCACTTCTTAGTTTCTTAAAAACCATATAAAGGTACCTTGAGGAAAAAAACACAGCTTTTATGACATCTGCAAAAATGTTATAGACCCAACACTAAAACAGACATGGGTCACCAAGAAAAAGTCAATGCCCTCTGTGCTGCCGCAGTGCCACAGCCCCAGGACTCCCGGCATGCTCTCTTCTTTTTTACTCTAATGAGTTGCAACACAGATAATGTGGCTGATGATCTTTCATTGATTTGGCTATCACTTGCTTGTCTGGTAATTGATCCGTAGCTGAGCCTCTAGTTAATTATATCAGCTTCGACATGGCCCTAGTCTGGGGGGAATTTGAAGTCTTGCAGAATAATAGTTTTAATAAAGGAGTCCATTACTGTGGCTCTCTGCTTTCCTTGACTGCTGCTGCCACTGACTGGATCTGAGCTTACCCTCACCCCCAAGAGAGAGAATGAGGACTGGACAAACTGTAAGAAAAGAATGGAGGTGGCAAACAAAAAAGGAAAGGGATATCGGCAGAGTCCTCTCAAACGTCTCACAAATAACAACTATTAATGGGGAGGTCAGAAGCTGAGCTGCTGGCTTGACTTGAAACACTCGGTAGCACTTGAAAAATCAAGAGGCCAGTACGTTCAAGAGAGAACTGAAGAGGGGGAGAGAAATTGAGATGGAGATGTGACCATAGAGACTAAAGAAAGAAACAGTTTCATTGGCATTAAGAGTTACTGATGATATAACTGGTAGAATCTAAGATTTTTTATTTTATTTTATCATTAAATTTTTTTTTAAGTCACGGTTACTACACATTATTGCTTGTGTTATTTTTAGAAACAAAAATTCATGGCATTTTAGAACTGAACAAGAAATAGTCTGTGAGGACAGATGAAATTGAGGGGACAAATGTCTGACAATGGGCTCTTAAGCATCTCCCACATTAGTGTCCATTTGCTTGTAAAGACATGCGGTCTTCGCTTCTTTGGTTACTGTGGAGGGTACTCTACACATGAAAGAGAGAGAGAGAGAGAAAGAGAGCGAGAGAGAGAAAGAGAGAGAGAGCGAAGAGGTGAGAAAATGAAATAAAACGGCATATTAAGTTCTCATTGCGGCTGCCACCATTTCTTGTGCCTTTTTTCATTCAATCTAAAAAAAAAGAAGAAGAAGACACTAGATTTGATCAGACAAAATGCTGAGCAGATTACTCAGGTAAAGGTTAGCCAGAGCTGTCATTAGTGCTGTACAGAGGCTTTTAACAGACAGTAACAGCTGTCTCTTTCAAATTGCCACAAAATTTCAAATGGCTTTCTACATACGAGAAGCCATTTAATGTAGTGAAAGGGAGAAAAGTTAATTCCATTTCTTTCTATCTCATAGAAGGGAGATCACGGTGACATCTTCCTCAGACACACTCGCATTGTCAAAGACTATAATTTTAACAGCTGACGTGAGGGGAAGTGCTGGAGGAAAAATGTACGAGTGGAAAAACACGCAATAATAACAAAAAATAGCTTCATTACACAACACATTTCTCATGTAAAATGTTTTGGCATGTACAATGAGGGAGAGATGCTGCCACTTATTGTAAGTGCATATGTTAGGGCTTTCTTTCTCTTCCCCACCTTTGTGAGACTGTCTGCTGCAGGGACCAATTTGGCAAAAATGGAGCCTCTATTAGCTTGAGCTGTTTAATACTAGAGGAGAAAAAAACAGACAAAGGAATCAGAGTTTGTAATAAAATCAAATGGTTATGTGCCCACCTTAAAATACCTGAATTAATGACACATTCAGATTTAATTCCACACGGTGTGAAAGTTGACATGAAGACATGCGTAAGCAATGAAATAGAAATACTTTACATTTTTTTATATAATAATTCACTTTTTTTGCAGGAAATTTTTAAACACTGTTTGCGTATTCACTATCTGTAAAGAGTAAGAACAAAATAAAGAAAAATAAAACGGCGCAATTGAAACGCTCAGAAACATCTTTTGGTTTAGCATTGAGGTTATTATAGAAGTTGGAGCTTGTCCAATTGTATTGACAAATGCATTATTTGCTTGGAATAGTTGTGTGGATGGGCCAGTTCTGCATGTGTGTGTGTGAGTGCATGTATTAGAGAGTGGCTCAATCCCACTGAGGTATGTATGTTTGTGTATATGTCCATGTATGTTTGGAGGACAGCCCATACACAGCCTGACTGACATTTTGGAAAAAAGTGTGTTTGGGGGTGGGGGGTAAGGACAAAAAAAGCTACTCCTCTCCTTCACCATCTCCTCCTTCATTTTCTGCCATCCCCCTTTTTTCTCTCCCTTCTTCACTTCACTTCAATTCACACACCCATCCCTCTCTTCCTCCCTCCTTACCGCCGACACTCCGCTCATCTTGCCCTCTACCACCACATGCCCCAGAGAAAATATGCATTGTGCAGCCCTGCTCCTGAATTAACTCAACACACTCCTCCTGCTACTGGCAGGCAAGACCCTCCACTTTCCCCCCTCTCTCAAGAGAAGATAGCAAAGAGAGAGAGAGAAAGAAAGAAAGAAAGAAAGAAAGAAAGAAAGAAAGGAAGAATAGGACAGAAGAGAAAAAAAGAACAGAACAGTCACCCTTTGCCTCTTTGAACCTCCACCTTAACGTACTTTTCTCTCCGGCTCCCCTGTCCACCCCCCTTCCCCCTCTTCTCTGCCGGCAGTCTGAGGAGACAGAGTTGGATGTGAGAGGCGGTGTGGTGTGGAGAGAACGAGATCGAGAGAGGGCACGCGAGTCCACGGCCAGAGCCAGCAGCAGGAGCAGCAGCAGCGGTGCAGGGGGAGGAGGAGGAGAAGGAGAAAGCTCCATGCAGTTCAGCACCAGACCGGCCAGCGCCGAGCCGGGCTTCATGGGGACATGGACACAGCAGAGCACTGACAGCAACCTCCTCTTCAGAATGTCCCAGCAGGTCAGTGGCATGCTGTCTCTCTGTGTAGCTGTTATACGTGTGTTAAAATAATGTATGCTTGTGCGTAAGCATGATTTTCATTTTTCTTTTTTCTTTTTTAGCGTATGTGTGAAAAAAATGGGTGGTGTAACATTTGCTACTTGTGTAAGCTATGTTTTGCCTTGCTTCTTTCAGTAGTTTAGAGGCTGATGCCCGTTGTGACAAATTTCAGCCTTCTTTGTAAAGTTTTTGGGTGTTGAAGAAAAATTAGCTTTTATAAATTGCATTAGTGAATATGCATCGGGTCAGTGTGGGAGGTTTTCATTTTGTTTTGGTGACCCTTGGTAGATCAGGCTGTGGCACACATCTAATTGACTTAATCTGCTTGTTGCTGGAGTCCTTAACACCATCATCCTCTAAAACAGATTCCGTAGCTGTGTTAAATCTACAGCTCTATAATGTTGTGTGTAGTTATTGTAAAGTTCCTGTGTTGAATGCTTTTATCAGGACAGAATGTTTATGGGAGGGGGATCGGGGTCTGTGGAGGGAGAGATGGTGAGCAGAACATTAATCATCATGGCTGGTTTCTCTGTGTCATGCACACGCTGACACGAGCGCAGGCCCCTGGACTCCCTTTGGCCGACAATGGGGGTCCATCCACATTTCTTTCCAGATTCCTCACGAACTACTTTTTTTTTTTTTTGCACTCGATCAGCTCTCTTTATTTGAGACATCAATATGCGTTTTTATTTAAACAGAACACCATAAAACGGATATGAAAAACCATTTTGATTTTATTTGATATTAAAAAAAGATTCAATCTTAATAATATATATTTTTTAAGTTTATAATTCACTAAATAATTATGTGTTAATTTTTATTGAAACGTTTTACTCTGCGCGGTCGTAGTTGACTTTGAATCGCAGAATCTGAGCGAGAATAAAGATTTGAATGGCACTGATCAGTCGCGCGCTGCGCTCTGCCGCGCATCGGAGCTCCAGCGCAGGTGGATTCAGTCCTGCGCTTAAATCCTTCACGAAAACACTATGAGCTTTAAAGGGTTCTTACACTTATGACAAGCTAACGGACATTCTGTATAGACCCTAAGCGTTTAGTAACAAATTCTCGAAATAATTTCTTCTGCATTCTTGTATTGTGACGCAGCTTTGAACATTTGTTAAAAACAGGGTGATTAAGTGTTTATACCGTTTATCCTTGACATAAAATATGAGTGTCATAAGTTAAATGCAGTTTATTTTAATTCGACTGTAAATCACTCAATAATCATTGAATATAATAATTTTATTAAAATAGTCTCGTATGTATTGAACATTGATGACAGCGTAGTGTGGCTGCTATCAATTATTTTGTCAGAACAATATTGTCTCAGCTCTTCAAATGCTGGTGTGCTGCTTAAATATCATACAGTAAATGATGTGCATGCAAACCTTTTTGAGTGAATGTCAAATAAGACTTCTAGAGAAATGTCAAAAAACAATACTCTTGTTCATAATTAAAAAAAAACAATAATAATAAATAA